TATTTAGCTAAGCCGGGTGTTTCTGACGCTCAGGGATACTAGCATGCTGTGAGCGTCCTCCAACAAAAATCATGCCACAGCTTAGATATGGTAACAGTCCCTTCAGCTTACTACTTCGCGCGATGTCCTTTCCTTTCCTCAATGCTGATATCTCTTCTGCAAACGCCTCTTCTTGAACCTGTATCAACACCACTATTTCGGCTTCCTTGTATTCAGCTGCCGTCAGATACCTTGGAAACTGTACCCTTTTCTTTTCCTTTAAGAACTTCAGGAACCGTTTGAGCCATGCAACTGCGCCTAAGAGACGTCGCCAATCCGAATAATGGTGAAATAACCCGTTTAGTGGATGGATAGCCGTTAACGTTAATCTCACTTGGCGCAGTTCCAGAAACTCTTGGCAGTTTGGGACGTACATTTCTTTCCTTCGCTCAATATTCTGCATTGTCAGCCAGCATAGCCCATTCCACCAGAGTACACTCTTCTGCAAGCCTTCCGTCGCAATCCCCCGGGACAATATGTCAGCTGGGTTTTCATTCGTTTGCACGTGCCTCCACTGCTGGGCCTTAGTAATTTCCAAAATTTGGTCGACCCGGTTAGCTACAAACGCCTTCAATCTGCATGACTCGGCGTTCAACCAACTAATAACTACCGTGGAGTCCGTCCAAAGATAATAATCCCTCACTTCTAACTTCCAAGCTTCTGCCACATTTAACGCCAACCTGGCGAGAGTCAATGCTCCTCCAAGCTCGAGCCTAGGTATTGTTAATCCTCTAAGAGGCACAACTCTCGTCTTATTACACAAAAGACGCGCACGCTAACCCCCATCTTCCCCTCGGCTTCGGATATAGACTGCAGCGCCATACGCTTCTTGAGATGCATCGCAGAAACCGTGAACTTCAAACTCTTCACTCAAGCTTGGAATACACTTCCTCGGTATGGGCAAGCAGCCTAGCTTGTCCAGCTCTTGGTAAAACCGTCGCCATCTGCTTCCTAAATCGTCTGACAGAGTGTTGTCCCACTCCAACTTTAGCTGCCATAACTGCTGAATAAAAATCTTGCCGCGCACCAAAACTGGTGCCAAAAAGCCAAGCGGATCAAATATCCTATAAAGGTCCGATAGCAGCATCCTTTTCGTCACCTTGTGTCTTGTAGGACTGGGGCCTACCTCGAAGCGGAACTCATCTGCCACGGGTTTCCAACTAAAACCCAGCGACTTTACGATATCGTCTTCCCCGATTTTAAGGACGAACAGTGGCTCCGCGCATCTCTTGTTTGTCCGTGCCATTACTTCAGATGAATTTGAACACCATTTCCGTAAAGGGAACCTAGCTGAGCTCAGTATTCCACTAATAGCCCGTTGCCGCTGACAGCACTCTTCAATCGTATCAGATCCCGTCATCAAGTCATCCATGTAGAAATCATGGCGAATAATTCTAGCGACTTCTGGCCGACTAGCGCTGACCTCCTCTGCCAGAGACACCAGACAATTAGTGGCCATAAACGACGCGGACGTGGTGCCACTGACTGTTGTGAGACGGTAACTTCTAATTTTGTCACCGGGATTGGACCGCCAAAGTATCCTCTGAAAATCCTGATCCTCCCTGGCCACCTTTATTTGCCTAAACATTTTTTCGATGTCTGCGGTTATTACGAATTGATGCCTGCGAAATCGAAGAATAATTGCAAATAAATCGTCTTGAACAACTGGTCCACTCATTAGCGCTCATTTTAATGATAACTTCGATGAACTTTTGGCTGATGCATCAAACACTACCCTCAACTTTGTCGTAAGGCTTGAAGCCTTGATCACTGGATGGTGCGGGAGATAGTATACTGACTTGGGCAGTTTTGCTTCGTTTCCTACTTCCTGCATATGGCCCATCTCCAGATACTCGTCCATAAATTGTTCGTACTGTACTTTCAGGACGTTATCTCGTTGAAGCCGTCGCTCTACGCTGAGGAATCTCGACCTGGCCATATCTAGCGTCTTTCCAAGCTCTTGCACTTCCGGCTTGAAAGGAAGCCACAGCACGAATCTACCCTCCTCGTCCCGTCTTGATGTGCTCTTAAAGTGTCTTAGCACCTGTTGTTCCTCGATACATCTCTGGTTTGATTTAGAGGCAATACAAGCCTGATCCTCGCTTCTATAGATTGCCCTGAAATCACTTTCCCATTCCTGACCGAAAGAACTGGCAGACAGAAGACAAGTGGCACCGACTTCTCCAGTAACCACCCAACCTAGCACTGTTTCCTGGATCGTAATAGCTGATGGCAATTGTTTCCTCCTTGTCCCAAGCAAATCGAAAAATACGCCACCTCCAATGAGAAAATCAACGCTCCTTGCCTTGCTAAAATCAGGATCAGCCACCTGTGCCTCGATTTCTGTGGGAATGCTCCATCCTTCGCTTGGAACCGGATACCCAGGCAGTTTTTTCGCTATTACTGGAAGCACGTAACAAACTAGGTCCATTTGAAATCGTTTTACGCGAGACTTAACCCTAATAGACATACAAGACCCTGACTCAATATAGTTCGCTCCGATGCCACTGACAGGTAACATCGTCTTTTTGCGAGGCAGCTGTAGCAGATTGGCAAAATCTTTAGATATAAAGTTGATCTGCGACCCACTGTCCAGGATGGCACGGCATTCCTTGAATTCACCTCGGTTATCCGACACGAGAACTGAAGCTGTAGCCAAAAATACATGCCCGCCTCCACCATGCACTGAAAGTGACAGATGACTTGCCAGCTCTTTAGTTGCATTGTCTTCCTTAGCTAAGCTTGATGAACTTGGCCTTTTCGCTGTCGAAATGACTGGAGTGTCTGAATGAATCAGGGTGTTGTGACGGTCCTCACACACTTGACAGCTGAATTTTGATTTACAATGCTCCTTTAAATGATACAATGACAAAAAGTTATAACACAGCTTCTTCTCTCGAATGGCTGCCACCCGACCGCTTACATCCAACTTCTTAAATGCGTCGCATGAAAATAATCTGTGCTGACCCGAGCAATAGAAACATTGCTCCTGATCATTCTTTCCAGCCAACAGTGCTACCTTCTTAGTCCTTGGTATTGGTATAGAACCGCTCTTGCATCCTCCTACGTTATAAAGGATTTGGTCAGAACTCTCCACTGCGACACAGCGACTCGCTAAAAATGCCTCCAGATCAGCATACCTCGGAAATTGTGTGTTCTTTTGTCGTAGCTGCCATCGGTGCGAGGTATCCTTAACCAACCTCATGCATATGATCGTTATCAACCACGCATCCTACTCTTCAACAGGTTGACCCAATACTTTTCGACTGGCAACGTACATACACACGTGTGAGTGCAGCTGATGAAGCTGGGCGGCAGTCCCCTTCTCGACGCGTGGGGACTTTAACAAGGATCGGATATGTGACTGTATTACCACACTCCTATTATCATATCTCTGCTTGAGCCGATCAATTGCTACGTCATAGTTAGCATCCGTCATGGGAACTGCTCTAATGAGGTCTAGCGCCGTACCAGTTACGCACGACCTGAGATAATAGAATTTCTGGCTTGAGTAAAGCTGTCTTCTTCGTGTATCATACAACGAAAATAGTCGAAAAAAGACCCCCAATCTTGTATATTGCCGCTGAACTCCGGCATCCTTATAGGCGGCAATTGGATCCGTGATTGAGTTAGCGGCATGTTATTAAGGGTCGAATTATGCGCACTGACGTTAAGATTCTTTTCGGCATTGACCATTTCCTGTATACGAGATCGAACACTGAAATAGTCAGCTTCGAATTTACTACGCTCTTCCTCTTCCTTTTCCTCGTCTTCGTCAACCATCAGCTCGATCTGAGTATGTATATCGTCGAACTTTTGATTGAGCCGCGGCAACTCTTCTTGGCGAAATTCTAAAAGGGATACTGCGTCAACTGATGGGTCAAAGGACTCCACAAAGGTTTTCATGCACGTAAGCGCCGCTTTGACGATACCACGCTTTTTCCTAAGCTCTTTTAACTGACTAAACATAATCGAGTCCAGTGGCATGTTAATCGTTCTCGTACAATTTGTGCTCGAAAGGTGATAGCCCTGAAATACCCTTTAAAAATCGCTATACCACACCGATTATTAACAATACCAAGCCAAAATCAATAAACAAAAAAAATCAATAATATCCAAAGATCACGTCGAGGTCACCAAAATGTGTGGGCCGGGAGCTAGAC